AAGTAAGCAGATGAGGAAACAGAGCTGGGCCAACTCCACTGATTTCCCCATTGTATTAATTGTAATCACTATGCCAATGACAGGCAGCCACTATCAACTTCATATACTAATAAGTAATTAGTATTATACTAATAACTATACTAATAACATATACTAATAACTAATAATAAACACATACTAATGAGTCATTCAATAGATACTCTTTTTATGTCTAACTGCTGTTGAATATGCCATTTTGAACTATCCATACTGTGTCTGAAACATGTAATTATATAGTACTCGTTACCATTGCTGTATAGTGACCCATGGTGCAAATTTACCACGTTTTTTTATCCATCACCTTGTTTATGCTTAGATAGGCTTATTATAGAAATATTTAATTTTTATTTTATGTGTATGGGGCTGAAAAGATGGCTCAGCTGTTAAAGGCTAGGCTCACAACCAAAAATATTTTGTGCATATGGGTGTTTTGTTCTACATGTAAATCTATCCACCACATGAGTGTCTGGCTTTCTAGAATAGGAAATCCAAAATCAGGAGCAAATGCAAGACAGTGGTCTCCTTGGCTTGAGGACTGTTCTGATTGTAAAGGGGGACCAGGAACTGCTTTGGAGTATTCAAAATGTCCTGAACTGTTATCAGTATATACATTTGTCATACTCTGATCTATTCACTTAAAATGGGTCATCTGTGTTAAATTACACCTTCATAAAACTACTTTTAAAACCCCTTTACTGAAATCTATAGAACATGATCAAGTTAGGGTGTCTCCTCTTCCACGGGGATCACTCAAAATGTCAAAAGATGCCTCATCAGGCCAGTAGAGAGCCACACCTACCTAGAAGGAAACAGTTGTAAATCCCTTTAGAACTAATTGTTTTGATGGAAGACATCCCAAAAGCCCAGTTCTGGCTACTTTGTTCATCTCATATTCCACAAATGACTTGGTTTTGGTTCCCTGATGCTCCCTTCCAGTCACTCGACAAAGCAGCCAGCAGCACGCTTGACAAGCTGGCCCATCACCATGTTTAAAATACACAACATGGCATTTCCAAACCCTGGCCAGAGAAAAGAAAGATCCCCAGCTGCTTTCCCCGACATTTTACCTTGCAAATCCAATCTTCACTTGTAATTTAACTCCCAAGGGGAAAACAGACAGCACCCGTGTCTCAGAAGGATCCTCTCCCGTAGAGCACCAGAGATGTGGTATTTTAATAGCTGCCCTCAGCCCCTCCCCTGGGAACATATTATGTGGTCATTAGCGATGGGCAAACCTCTCTGGGTTTCCAGGTTTGAGTCTGTGCCAGGAGTCTGAGCTCCACCTTTTTTGACAACTTGAAATTTTTCTTTTTTTCTTTTTTTCCCCCTGATTTATTTTTGTTTTATTTGATTCCCTCTTACTTAACTACCGGCATATATGCTTCAGTCCCTTCTGCATAGAGACGAGGAAAGGGAAGAGGTGATGGTCAGGGAATGTGAGTTCCCTGCTGCAGTCTCTGTTGGCAGCCCATGTGCCAAACAGAGTTGTAATCAGGCTCCAATTAGGAACAGGCAAGAATAAGTGACTGGGAATTCACTGTGTTCCCACATTCTAGAGATGCCCAGGATATTTGTAGGTGAATAGGAGCCCCCCACCAAAGATACTGAGACAAGCAGGTCAGTGGCCACAACTAATGCAGATCCAATGGGACCCTGGGCTCCAAGGGGGGTCTGGGATCTGGAAAGGTAGAGGGAATGCTTTGAACAGTTGAAACCCGAATGTGCTCATTTGTCACTTCTCAGCTTCTGGGTGTGAAAAGAAGGCATTAATTCATTCTATGTGATCTCTGGGACTATCATTGAAGGTCCCCATCTTTACTGTCCTCTAGAAAATCAGAATGCTGGTATTATTCCATGAGCTCTTTCATTAGTCACAGAGCTGAAGGACCAAAGCTATAACCTTGGGGTTACATTGAATTCAAGCCCACCAAACCTTGACAACAGGTTTAAAGTCAAAGCCCAAGTTTGTAAACTGTACCCATTAGCCAGAGACCAACTGACAGAGTATGGGGACAGTAAAGAACATGAAGTTTTAAGCCCTTCCCATCCTCCACAGAAGAATCCCAGGATACAGCATGTCCTGTGACCTTGTAGAAGGCTGGGAATGTCCAGGTCAGAGGCAGCAGCTGGCCTAGGAGGGCTGCCAGAATTTCTGGGACACTGATGCATTCAGAACAGGAGAAAAAGGAACATTGGAGGGGGCACTTGGCCAGAGGAAAGGATGGGGAGCTGAGAGAGCATTGCACTGATCACTTCTGATTGCTATATTTCATTAAACCTAAAAATAAGCAAGTAACTTATGCTAATATGTTTTCTCTTTAACACATTCTCCCGTTTGCCTGAAACTCTACTGTGTCTACTATTAATAATACAGTTTCCATGCAAAATTTGTTTTTCTGCCCAGAGAGCAGCAGCTTGCCTTTGGGCCTGTTTCCCTAGTGTGTAATTAAACTAGGGAGACCATTTCTTCTGCAATTAAGGACTTTCCGCTGCTTTCAGAGAGCACATCTATCTGATTCTTAGGGAATCCCCACCCCGCAAATCACCCGGATGTTCTATATCCTGCCAATTTTCCTTCTCCCAATTTTGATTCTCCCTAGGCCTGCTTTCAATGTGTTGGTCACTGTCTGTAGAAGGTCACCAAGTGCAATAATAAATAAAAATCTGTTCATAGTTTGTAATTTATGAGTGGTACTGTTTTAAGGTCATTTTGATTTTTATTCTTAAAGTGGTTTTACATGGCCTTCAAGGACACCAGGGGCCCACATGGTACACATACATACATTCTGGCAAAATATTCATATCCATAAAGTAAAATTAAATAAGCCTTAAAGTAAACAACAAAAAAACATGACTTTACAAACTAGAAATTGACAGATGGTAAGGTGTGCCTGGAATAAAAGATGTATCAGAGTAGCTTGAAAAGTGTGCGTGCGTGCGTGCGTGCGCGCGCGTGTGTGTGTGTGTGTGTGTGTGTGTGTGTGTGTGTGTGTGTGTTCTTGGCCATGCAAAGTAGTAAACATTCCTATTCATCAGTCTTTGCTACAATCAAACCTCCTCAAAATTTAGGAGTGATAAACAAGAACTGTTGTTTCGCAGCCCCTGGAGGATGAGTTAGGACACTGCTTCAGGCTGAGAACTGATGCACCTGGCTCTGAGCTCTCAGCCTCTTTCAAACGTGTTCCGTATCACACCTTGTGCTCAGTCATGTGAAGCTGTTGCTACCTCCAGTTGCTTTTCAGCTTCTCATTAGAACAGAAGTGAGTGCCAGGTACAGCCTTGGTTACATTAGACTTAGTCTCTGCCTTCAAACTCTAGAATGAATCTACTCCAGCTCCAGTCCCTTTTAAAACTGGATTGGACTATGGTTTATCAGTGTTTTCTAGGGGAACAGAACCAAGAGAATGAATATATACCACAAAGGATATTTACTAGATGATGTGCCCTGGGTAGTCCATCAATGGCTGTCAACATGCTTGAGAGGTTGAGAACTCTACAGCTATTCAGTTCACAAGGTGGGATGCCTTAAGAGTCTCCATCTGATGTTGAAGGCCTAGAAGATTCCTAGGGAGCCACTGGTCCTCATTCCATGTGAAAAGTCTGAGGAAACTGAGTCCTAATGTCAGCAAAGGATGACAGCAGTGACAGCAATAGAGTAAATGCTTTCACAGGCAAAGAGTGAAGGCAGGTAGCCAAAAGCATCACTGTGGCTCCTCCTGACTCCTTTAGATCTGGGCTACCACAAGAAGGCACTGCCCACTGCGGGGGAGTGCTAATTCTTTCAGAAAATGCCCTGGAAGACTGGCCCCTAAGTGTGTTTCTTAGTTGGTCCAAGATCCAAACAGGTGGACAATCAAGATTAGCATCACAGACCACGTGACCAAGTTTTCCCAGAGGAACATGGGCAGAGACGGCATATATGAATCCCTAACAGCAGATTCTGAAGCTGATGCTTTTTCCCACAGTTTACCTCTCTGGTCAAAGTTAAAGGATGAGGAGGGCTTTAACATTGTGAGGAGAGCCAAGAGGTGGCAAGTGCGGGTTACTCACTGCAGAACATATGGATGGCTTCTTATAACCAGCCAATAAACCCTTGGAAGTTAACCTTCATGGCTGTTTTTATGGCTGTTAGTGAAGACTGCCTATCCCATCATGCCAGACAGCATGGCAGTCACTGGGATTAGATGTTGATTAAGCGACGTGGAAAAGTCTGCTCAATGTATCAGAGCATTCAGCTGAAAAGCTCTTCTACGCTACAGAAGGGCTCACTGCAACACACTCAGCCCGCAGCTGATGTCCATAAGGAGGCAGCTGTGATCATCAAGGACCGGGCCTTTGTGATGCTTGGGTCACACATCCAAACTTGTTCATGTTTCCTTCACAATCCATCAGCGACCTTTCTTCGAGCAGAGGCATGTGAAGAGTTTCCTTGGGTGCCTGTTGCTCCTCTGCTCGCCGTTTCTGAGTGTCTTTCTGATGGAGTGAGCCTCTCTCTCGTTCTGCTCAGGACTCTGTACACTCAAATCGATATCTGTTTTCACAAAACCAAAAGCCCTGTTGCCCTCCATCACCAATCAGCACCAAACATACCAGTTAAGTAGGTAGAGTATGTCCCTGGTAAGGGTAATCATGAGTTGTGTTGACCCAATTTCAAACCAAGACTTTATGCGTGATGACTTCCATTCAGACACCTCTGCTAAAGGGCCTCCTCCTTCAACTACAGAGCAGCCCAAGACCTAGGAGGGGGGAGGAAAAAAAACTGCTTTCCTTCTTTGTCCAGTAGCTCCCACTCTTCTGCTCAGCCTCTCTCTCTTTCTCTCTCCCCCTTCCCTCCTCCTCCTCTCCTCTCTTCTCTCCCTTTCTGTCCCCAACACAAATCCAATTATCCAATTGCTTCAGCCCTTTAACTGGCACAGCATCTATGATAGTGTAGCAGCTCCACGCTCAGACACTCTCTGGGAGCCACACCGAAACTGCTTCTGCTTTTCCAGTTAGAGCCGGCACTTGCCTCTCCTCTACGCTGTCTGCCTCTCATTAGCAGAGTTCAATCCCAGCCTGCACATGGCTTCTATTCCCGTAGCACCCCACCCCCGCCGTGACCAGGTACAGTATTGTCTTCTTTGTTCTGCCAGACATACCTTTATACTGAGGGATTGCCTTCTTTTAGAACCCATGAACCTAGCTTGCGGCACCACAACCATCACCATAGACAAGAGCCTCCTTGGCATCCACAGAGGGACAGGAGCTCCTCCACTGTTGGAAACAGAACCACTTTATTTGGACTCTTCCCTCCCAGTGACAGTCTATCACTGAGAGCTGGAAGGATGGGGGTGGCAGGGCATGAAAGAGAGAGGAGGGGAGCCCACAGCAGAAGGCTTATTAACCTTTCCAAGAGGCTTGTGATTCAAGCTTGTGGAGCTTAACATTTTTTTTCTCTTCTAATTATTTTAATGATGCTGCAGAAAGTCTAAACTTCTGTGCTGAGACTGTGTCCCTGCCACGGTCCTAACTGATCACATGGTAACATTCCGACCCAGGCTGGGTCACCCCTGTATGAAAAATCAGCTTGGGAAAACCACTCCTACTCCTCAAATGCATCTCCCCCTCCCTCTCCTCCTCTCCCTCCCTCTTCCTCTTCTCCTCTTTTTCTTCCTCTCCCTCTTCCCCTCTCCCTTCTTCCTCTCTCTCCCTCTCTTCCTCTCCCTCCCTCTCCCTCTCTCCCATCCCTCCCCTCCCTTTCACTTTCCTCTCCTCCTCCTCCTCCTCTTCCTCCTCCTCCTCCTCCTCCTCTTCCTCCTCCTCTTGCCCCACCTCTGGAAGCTCCTTTCTAAGGAGCTCTGCAGCTTAAGTCTTAGCTGCAAGCTTTGTTTCAGAGTTGAGTAGTTGTTGTTTCATCCCCATTCATCCTTTCCCTCAAAAAGATTTGTGTTCACCCCTAATGGCAATTACTGACTCTAATTCAAACCGTTTTGTGTCATTCAGTTACAGGCACGTTACTGGGTCTCAATAATAGGGGAACATACCAGATACCTTTTTGTTGCTAAAGAAACTGTAGTCAAATAAGGTATCTCACCAATCATGGTGCTTTTTTTCCCTTTAGTTTTAATGTATTTCATTTCATTTTTTGAGCAAGAAAACTCAAACTGTAGTTTGTACTTACAACCTGGATGCAAACCTAGCCACATTCAGATAGAAATATTTATTAGGCAGGCCAGGGGTGGTGAATAGCTAATCTTTTAGTAGGAGGAGACAGGGCTGGAGATGCAGGGGGAATGAGACAGGAAGCTTAGAAGAGGAAGTTATTCTCCATCCCGACATGTTTTCCTAGAGCCAGAGCCGTATTTTCAGTAACCCACCACAATCAAGCACAGGACACGGAAGAAAAGCTGGCCAGCCCCTCATCTCATGAGAGAGATGGGGAGGGCACCGGTGAACACAGGCATGCTCTACTCCAGACAGGGATTTGTTAGGTAGCCAAAACCGGTCTCAGCTTGCTTCTATAGCACAGATTGAGTTCAAACATGAAAGTCTCCTGCTCCTGCCTCCCACGACCTGTGATTACAGGCACGGGCCACCATGCTTTACACTTTTCAAGTATGCAGCCTCGTGGATTTTCCACAATTGAACACACCTGTGTTACAAGCATCAGGCTACAGAAAAGAATATTCAAACATCCCAGAAATCCCTTTAATGTCTCTCCCAGTAACTGTTCAAACTCCAGAGTGACCTAAATTCTAGCATTAGAGACGAAGGTGAATTTAATTACTGAATGCACTCTTGTTCTAGGCTTCTTTAGCTTGGGAACTTCCTGTTTTGTGTTGTGGGGCATTCTGTTTCTACCTTGCACCCTTCAGGCAGTGTCTGAGAGTCCCAGCATACCCTCATGCCACACAGTGCCCACAATTTTCAAGGCTTACTTCTACCCTTCGGTGAAATTGTTTGCAAGTTTACTGTGCACGTCCCACACATACTCATGTCTGTGCCTTCCCACTCATCTCCTAACCTAACCAGAGCCATGGTCACCAAGTCTTCCTTGGAGGAAGACTTTCTTCTCTATTGCTGTTCTCTCAACATTTCCTCCACCCTCCTTCATGTACTGAGCTTTGTGCAAGTCGCACATGGAGCTACCTCATTTGAACCTGGCAAACCACCAGATCTGCTCCCTGTCTGGTGTACTTTCCACCAGAGGCAGAGTTCTCAGGATGGCACAAAACTCTTAGGGTTCTTTTTGTACACACAAACCCACTGAGCCTACTGCAGAGGAGAGTGGGCCAGGCTCCCACTGAGCTAGATTTTGTAGTATTTGTTCAGTCACTCTGATGCCTAGCAGCTTTAGTGTGGATGTTTAATACTGATTGAAACCACTCAAGAACTTAAATAGTGTAGGATGTTGAGTGATGTGGTTACAATAAAAAAAAGGTCTTAAGGTGAAGGCTGTTCTTCAGTTTCAGTACTGTGTTAATTATGTTACTCATCATGTAAGAGCTGAAGTTACATTTTAAGTTTTAATTACTATGCCAAAGAGATCCATGAAACAAAAATGCCTCTCATCTGCAAGCCTCTTACCCAGGGACAGAGAGTTCCTGAAATGCTGGAGGCTTTTGTTCATGGAAGGTAGCATGACACATGTTTTCCACTGCCCTAAACAAGTTTGTTTGACCTGTCTGCACCAATGTGCTTGATCACATGTGGGCAGGGTATTCACAGGCAGGAAATACATCAGTATGAATGCGTGCCCCTGATTGGATATAGGCTGGAGGTACATCAGGATGTATGCTTGCCTTTGATTGGACCTGATGGGAAATGAGATGAATTATGGATTTTTTTCTTCTTAAGCTCTTGCCGTACTTGATTCTAGGCCATTTCCCAGGAGCCCTAGTATGGTCATGCTCAGAGCCTATCCACTTGGCCAATGTTTAATTTAAACTTGCTTCAAATTTGGCTTTAAACTATTGTAAGTGGTCTTATTCTCAATCAGGGGATTTAGCATTTTCTGGTGGCCCCCAGCGAGATTCAGACCACCCACCAAAATTCTAAGCTGGACCTTCACTCTGGAACTCTTAGGCTGAGGGGATGCTTTAGGAGTCAAATGTTCCAATGCTACCTTCAGTTTGCAGACTATCAGAGTGAACTGCCTTATACAGATTATTATACTCATGTCCTGTTGTGTTTCTCCCTCTTGAAGTTAAAAAAAGTACTTATTTTTTAATATAAGAGGAAATTTTAGAGTTTTATAGAAAATTAAAAAACAGAATTTTTAAGGGATAGTTTTAAAATATTTAAATTTATAAGGCTATGGGACATTTTAAGTTTATAAAATGTTTTCTATTATTAATATTTGAACTTAAAAATAAATAAAAGGCTATAAATTACAGCCACAAGTTTGAGCACCAAATACTCTTGTCTCTCCTTACCTAAGTTCTATTCATGCTGAAGAACGTATGTCTAGCCTCCTTAGCATTGCTAACTTTGTTAAGCTTAAGCTATTTTCATAAACTGAGTCATATAAGAAACTGTTATAGCCGGGCGGTGGTGGTGCACGCCTTTAATCCCAGCACTCGGGAGGCAGAGGCAGGCGGATCTCTGTGAGTTCGAGGCCAGGCTGGACCGACAACCTCCAAAACAATACAGAGAAACCCTGTCTCATAAAAATCAAAAAAAAAAAAAGAAACTGTTATATTCTGTTGTATAACAGAATCAGGAAATTTCCCAGTCTAACTGTGGACTACATTTATGAGTTAAAAGGTTTATTTTGATACTAAAGGAGCTTCAATTCAGAAACTGTTTTTTAAGGTTCAAATTTAACAGAGATAAAGCTATAAAGTCCTTTTCCCATGACCATGCTTTTAGACAAAAGCTCCCATTTGCTCAGGAGCTTGAAGAAATTCCTGGTTGCTAAAAATGGAGTCATTTTCCTTATCTCTGGCAAAAGGAACTTGTAGACTTTCCATTAAAACATGACTGTGGTGCCTATTAACTTGTCAAGGGCAGTGCTAGCCTCTAGGATCCTCCAGTTCCTATTAGTAAGCCCTACTGCAGTAAGTCCTAGTCTTATGAAAAATAGCAAGTTATTGTAAACTGTTAAGGAAAGCTAAGAAAAGTCTGACTAAAGTAAAGTCTTTAAAGAAAGAATAAATAATATTAAAAAAACAAGCCACGTAAGGATGGGGAAATATACAGGGCACCTAGATTCAGTATGTTGCTTTGCTGACTCTGAATGTTTTAAATGCAGATGAGCAAACAGCTGCAGCTGAGAGACATTGGATTGTAGAAGGAACTGCTGAATTTAAATAGCCTATCTACTTTAGGAATGTTTTGGTTTCAGAATGAAAGTGGGGAAACGGGAACGGTTGTGCTTTTATTTCTATAGAAAATGAAAAGCTTTGGATTCCTTAAAAATTAATAAAGATCAAATTTGACTGGAGAAGATCTTCTGAGGATCTTGGCTGAAAATGTAACGGAGGAAGCCAGGAAACACTACAAGACAGGTGACATGTATGCTGATCCCTCTACATGGGAACAACTCTGAGACTGGGTGAGGCAAGATAAATCTAGTTAGCTACAGAGTGCTCCTGAAAGTTTAGTTTATAGTCCAAACTGACTTATAAAATTGATAGATGTCTTTTACCTGGTCAAACATAAAACAAATCATCTTTAGCTGACTTTGTTAATTACAAATATGTATGTTACCTTTAAAAGTTTCTATGTTTTTAGAACCAAAAGTATGGTGATATCTTGCTTGTACTCTAACAAACAAAGCTTGTCTGAAGATCAAAGGGTAGAGCTAGCCCATGGTTAACCATAGAGGTTTGGAGATCTGTAGAGAGAGACAAGAAGTGATATGGCTGGGCAGAAGAGAGGAATATAAAGCAGGAGGAGACAGGAGCTCAGTCTTTCTTTCAGTCTGAGGATTTCATGGAGGTAAGAGAGTGGCTGGCTGCTCTGCTTCTCTGATCTTTCAGTTTTCACCACCTAAAAAAAAGAAAAACAAACAAACAAACAAACAAAAAGATGCCAGCAGCTGCCAGGGAAGCAAGATGTGAGGTAATAAGCCACAACCTCATGGTAAAATATAGAATAATAGAAATGAGTTAATTTAAGTT